TTATGTATGTACTCTTGTTTTGTATCTCTAATTTTTGTTGTTGTGATTGAATAAGTTTATACCTACTCTACATAAAACGTCTCATCTCGCGCATTTACCTCTCAAAACATTTTGTTCAAGTCCGTCCATAATAGTTTTATTTGAACTTTGTTGAAACGTTGTTACTTTTGAATTGTACTATCAATCACCAAATAGACACTTTATGAATCTTAAACATCTCTCTAAAAACATACATCAAAAGGGACGTTCGCCCATTTATGAGGTAACTATAACACTGTCATTTCCATTAACCCTCACTCACTTCATCCATAATAATATATTACGTCAACTTTAAAAGTAGTCCGCGCCCTATAATTCTTTTTATATCTTTCTCAATCTTAAATGCATTATGAAGTTTTTTCAATAATAAAAATATGAAAAAACTTGAGCCTTTGTTTTCACAAAATAAAATTTTCTATTATTTGCTTGCGGCAGTAGTAATAAACTAACAATACTACTAGTAATACTAATAGTTATAGTAATTTTTTTTAAAAAAAATGTTGCGGTTCATTCAAATACGGGCGTACTCTATTATATTCTTTTAGGATAATTAAAACCAACTAAATAAGGCAAAACGACTTTTTTTTATGAGCATGTTTTATCCCAAAAAAAAATAATCGATTCACCATTTTCCTGAAATAATAAAACAAGAAAACCAGTTAATATCCAAAGAACTTGAAGTGAACAACAAAATATGTTTTGTACCTTTGAAAGTGCACAACTCCAAAACTTATGGCCATAATTTCTTGGAGTCCTTAATGTTTTCATTTTGCAAAATACTCTTTGCTTTTACAAATATCTAATCCAATTGAATATCTAGACTTTTCGAATTATTAAAATATAACTGTTAAATTTGAAAAATTAAACTATATATATAGTATAAAAAAGTAAAAGTTGAATGAGAAAATGTGGAACAAATAATACATATTTATTATTGAAGAAAGGAATAAAACTTCACATGAGGAATAAAAATATGTACGTTAAAGTAAGGAAATAATATAAAGAAATTATATTTCCCCTATTTTAAAGTTTGTGAATATTTTTTTGCATGGATCTGGAGTTAACAAGGATGATCTATATTAAAGATGGTAGTTATAGCTCGTCCATTTATGAATGAATTGTCCATTTTGGTGTGTGTTATAAGAGTTTCTTTTGATGTTTAGGGTTAAAGAAATGTCAATTTTAATGCTGGACTTGCTACATGCATGCATGCTATCCTTCGAGAAATATGATAAGTTGTATTGTCAAATGATCAATGAGTGTGGATTGAGAATTTTGTTGTGGTCTAATGATTACTAAATTAAGTGGGCCGAGAATTACGATATCTTAATTTTAAAATACAATAAAAGTAAAAATAATAGGTTATTTTCCCCTAATTGTCCCTAATATTGATGGGGGAAAAAATTACATGATATCATATTGTTGATGGAAGATAACAAATATCCTATAAAATTAATCAACATAATCAAATACTACGATATAAAAACAATATACATTTTTCTAAATTGCAGGCTTTAGGACACGGCATGAAATATGAATCCTTAAAAGAAACAATTCAGGACAAGAAATAAATCTTTTAAAAGAACAATTTAATACAAGAAATAAATCCTTAAAAAAAATTAGGACAAAAAATAAATCCTTAAAATATCAATTTTGTACAAGAAGTAAATCCTTACAACAACAATTTAGGACAAAATATAAATCCTTAAAAAATTCCATTTGACAAAATATCTTAACATTAACATTGTATCAAAATTTATTTTAATTATGCCTATTAATTTAATTAATAAGGAATCCTTTCCAATAGTTTCGAAAAGTAAGCACTTATAAATACTGTCAATTTGATCATAGAGTTTCCATGCAATGACTATGCTTCGAAAAAGGATCAAAAATATCTCTAACCTACCCAAAAAACCTCACAAACATTTTTATCTAAAAATACTGTCAATTACTCATTATTTTTGGTGCAAATATACTCCTCTCCCCCCCCCCCCTTTTGATTAAAAAATGCCTTTATAATATTAATAATGTTGTATCTAGAATTCAGTAATTTTCCTTCAACAACCTATATATCCATAGTCCAAATCCTCAATTTTCCTATTAATCAAAAGTGATAAAAAGATTTACATCACCTTTTAATTCTTAGATTGTTATTAATATTAAATATGTCTTGTTTTAAAACCTGGTTAATTTTGATTCG